TTTTACAGAGGCTCTGCCTGGTGTTCTGTATCATATCATATGGTTTCCAATATTGAATTCTGGAAAACCCCTGGAGCACATGGATGAGAAATGAGTCCCAGTCTGAGCTCTGTTTGTTGTTACTTTTGCTAATTGTGGGCAAGACCATTAATTCTCTGGATCTCAGTGTTCCATTTGAATGTTTATTGTCCAAATAAGTATTAATAAAACTATAAGGGGCTCTTTCAGCTCTAATATTCTGTGATTCTGTCATATTGCTTCTATTCAACCACAAAGGCAACCTAACCATTAAAGTTCATGAAACAGAAATCTCTGAGATAAGAGAAATGCTCCCAGTGTATGGGACATCCCATGAACCTCCCTGCATTCTTGGTTATAGGGAGTGATCCCTTACTGTACATTCTGGAAGAGAGAGAGAAAAAGCAAAACCTGGGAGACATTTTACTATTACTATCTTTTTTTTTCCCCAAAAGCATACATTCTGCTAAAAAGAATTTAATCTGTGTTTACAAATTTCCAGTTCAAAATATTAGAACAATTAAAAATTAGATTCAAATAAGATTCACCATTAAAAGGTTATAGGAAAGAAAAAAATGCTGTTTTTCTCTATTTAAACTGTTTACTGGGATAATAATTATGGCAAACATTTATTGAGCACCTAAAATGTGCCTGGAATTATGCTATCCATTCAAAAAAGAAAATTCAAAAGGATCTTATAAAATGCACTGCCCTGTTGACAATGATTGGGGGTCTAATTGATATTCATCATATCTGCTCAGACTTTCACCTTGATATACACTAGTGTTTCCCTAAATTTGTTTAATAAAAAATAGATTAAACGTGGAAGACAGTCACAGGTCTTTGGTCAAATATTCCAATACTTGTATGGTCTTATAGATGAAAGCAATGAGTCCATATCTCATCCTAAATCTCTTTTTCTAAATTGTTTTCCTGGACATAGTTCAAACAGAACAACCGATTTATTTATGTCAGTTCTTGCTCGTTTCAATGACCTCTTATTGAGCAATTTGTTAGAAGAAGAAGCTGGTTAGCAAACAATCACACGCCACAGAAACCCTGACTAAGACCTTCTGCTGGACGTTCACAGTCTCCCTTTCTGCCCTTTGGACCCGGGAGCACGGCAGCTTCATACCAATGACTGTTCAACCTGAGATCCTCTCAAATGCTGAGCGTGTCTGTACACACACACGTGCATGCTCACACATTCACTGCTCATCTTACTTGGTAAAATGACTCGTCGCTTCCAGGTCTGTGTCTTGTGGGCGAAGATTATTATACACATATTTCAGATCTTGAATTCCACTTAGCTCAGGCAATCCTGCATATAGCATCTTGACAAAACAAAACAAAAAGAC